AATGCCTGGGTCTGTCATTTAAAAAAAATAAAGAACTTCAAAAATACGTCACGACAATAGTGTGTGTTATTGTTTGGGCTGGTGATTTCGGTGTTTATTTATTGAAAACATACCGTAAGTAGCGTTTTTTAAGTTTACCCTGAATATAAATGTTTATAAACTATACTTTAAGGAGTAACTTCATGGTAAACGTTAGAACCATTCAAACGGAATATTATCATGTTTATCCAAGTACACCAAAAATTTTTATACATTTTTTTTAAGTGCAGGATTTGCGGTGTATTACTGCATTTTATTTGAGATGTTTTTGTTGGTAATACGGAGGGTATTTATTTAGCAATGCAGAATAATATTTTTTATTTATAAAAACTGAATTTAAAACCTGAGCCAGAGTGAGCGGTTAAAACCTTGATTCAGGATATTAAACTCGATGTATCCTACCTTTTTCTTCCATCAAACGCGTGTACAACTTAAACCGGAGGTTTTCCATCTGTTTGTTGACGGCTTCGACGCTGATAGCCGGCGCGCACATTTGGAATATGATGTAAGTTGAATACAACAATCTAATCAGGTGAACATTCTGTATGTCCTAAAAACGTAATTTTGACAATAATAATACTTGGTTGCGGAAAAGAGAAAGGAAATGAATAATAAAATATTAAGATCATAAATTTAATGATCGTTTTACAGATTTCTCTCTCTGATATTGCACATTCTTTTTTATTAATAATTGTGCACTTACTTAACTTTTATGAAAGGCTGGCGATAGAGTCTCAAACACAACAAAGTTACTTACTTTTTCTTTAAAGTGGTAAATGACATTGCAAACCAATGTCAGATATTTCGGCAAATAGATGGACAACTCTATAAGAGCCTGGAACAAAAGATACTGTTATTTTCTCATCAATTGTTTAAACTTTTTTCCGTATTGACTCGACAATGTCTATTTTATAATGTAAAATACGCATTGGAGAACTGTGTTGTCAACCGTTGTCTATCTTAGATAGTTCTATCATGATTAGGATCGTGAATTGACACCACAGATTTTGCCAATCATCGCTATGCAATGTAATTAACAGATGAATCGTAATTATATTCATGTACTTCATCACCCTTACCTTCTTCAGGTGAACATATACCTTGTTTACAAGTAACTTACACTTACCAGCGCAAGCCTGGCTATTGCTTTGAAATCTGGCTGGTTTTGCAAGCTCGACAGGACTATTACTCGTAGGTAGAGGCTATTTTAACATAAATACTTACCAAGTTCCCGTAATATCCTCCAAACTTCTCGCAACATTCGGAAACATGAAGGAATTGCTTCCTAATGAAACTTGTTTTTTCTCTCTCTACCAATCCCACTAAATATATAACAGCATAATAGGTGTACAAATTCACTATTAATTGTACGAAAACTATTGCATCTAATCCAGTTACAGATATCATATATATGGCATTGATGCGGTTATTATCAAGCATACATTCTGAATTTGTGACTATGCAAATCACTGCTGTGCACATTATAGAGATTACAAATGTAGAACCAAAAGCAATACAAGCAAACCACCCTATTTTATGTTCTTTAGAGTATACAATGTCATTATCAATGTTACGTATGTCTGATACGAAATTTTGCACTTTGTATTTAGAGAAATTGAAAAGAATAGTATGGCCGCAATACTGCACAAAAGCCATGGAACCAAAAAAAACTCTCATTTCCCATTTTGGTACTAATATTGGTGTGTTTAACAGCAATATTATAATTGTATAGAGACATGTTGTTATAGAGATAAGTTTACAAAAATTACGTATTTTTTTATTTAGCACATCAAAGAAACCAAAATTATCACCGTAAACAAACTGCATAATCCAAAAGAATGCTATAATAGAATTCGAATATTTCTTCTTATTTTTCTCTACAAAAATCTGTTTTTGTTTTATTTTTAAATTTTCACCGATCATTTTGTAGCACACTTCTTTTTACGATAGTTGATGAATTTATGAAGTTGGTTCATGAAATCGAACAACATTTTGTTCAAATACCATTAGCCAAAGTTAATAATAGCATTTTGTACTTCGACTAATGAACTACGAAATATATATATACTTATACATATAACCATTATGAAGTATATGCTTCTTAATCAAAAAATATAGATTTTTGTCATGCCCTTAAAATTTTTGTTATTAGACTTTGTATTTTGTTTTTTGGACATCCTATTTTATAGTACCGACAATTCAAGCACATTTGTACTGATAGCATCCTTTAGATGTACCTACTCGATCTATTTGTATCTATTACTGTAGTTACTGACTAAAGCTCAGAGAATTCTATTTTATTTTATTTATTTTTTATTACTATATATTTAATTTTTTCAATTAAAAAGTCGTTGAAAAACCAAATACAAAAACACGACAACAAGCACGTAGGAAAATTCGTGAGGTCCGCTGGTTCGTTCCGTGGCTTAGTTGGTACAGCGTCTGACACGGTATGCTAGAAGACGTCGGTTCGAATCCGGCCGGATCGAAGGAATTTTTTATGAGTGTTTGATCTTTGTATTAATAATTATAACAAACCGGTTTGTTTAATTTTCATGAAAAATGTATTGACACTAGCTATATACCTTAAGTAATAAAATTAGTTTTCTAACGTTTCTGAGATTGTGAGTTTAAAAAAATACGGTAGTTACTGATACAGGCTGTAAGTATATACTTTTTCAATTAAATGTTTACTAATTATAATTTAGAATAATAAAATATTTTTTTTATATTTGTTGACTTACTCAAGAAGGTTACTTTTATTTCATGCATCTAACGTTTGTGGGAGATGGTTCACTTTGAGAATCTAACATTCTTAGACATTCCTTACATCTATCCTGAGGTTAAAAACAAACAAAAAAAATACAATATTATGTAGTCATAACCATGCTTGCTTCAACTTGCAAAGCAATCCTTATACCGCTAGGCCACGACGTCCTTACTACGGGTGGTAAATTTGTAACAGGTATCTATATAAGTAAGAACTTTACGTTAAAGATCAAATTGGCTTAAAAACTTTCTACAATGTTATTCACTAACGAGACGATCAGGTAGTCATATCAAAATAAATTTTACGGCTTTGAGCATATATTAAGTTTGTTTAAAAATTTTCCCCACATTTTTGTGCTCAGAATCAAAGTCGTCGTGTCGGTCGACAAAGTCAGCTTGGGGGGTCAGGTATCTTGTGTATATGACTATACTTTACCTAATGTAAGGCTTTTTGGAACAATAAATTATTATTATTGTGTTCTTCTTCATTTTTCTCAGCCTGTTGGCTGGTTTGAACTACACTTACGGACCGACATTAAGTAAATGTAATATGGCGTGTATCTATGCGGAGGGTGTGTAATAAGAGTCTACTTCGTCGTCTTCCATTTGCATGAACTTTCGGACAATGCGGCATGTACTTTAAATTACAGCTTTTTGCAAAGCTATGGAGGAGATGATTCGGAATATTGCCTGTTGTGGAAAGAATAATTGGGATAACACTTTCCTTTTCTGTTACGCTCAATTATAGATACGTCACCCTTGAGCTATGCGTATTAAGTTATTTTTTTCAATTATGGTCTTCTGTATGTTATATGTATTCGGAACTGCATTATTATTATTATTTACATAGGTAAGCAAAATACATCGGAAATTACTTTTTCGGATATAAATCACGTACGTACATGCCTTTTTTCAAACTAACCAACTTTTCGGGTTATTTACAGGTCCCATGGTCACAGCTTAAATCAGCTGGTGTTTCCAAAATATGAGAAGAGTATTAGATATTTCGAATGAATCGAATTTCGGCAGTTACATTGAATCCATGGTCAAAAATGCAGCCAGGAATCTCGGCATACTTTCATAATGACAAATTTCTTCACACCGGGACAGCCTTATTTCTTCTACTGAGTTTTGATTACTACGCCCTCTGTTTGGTTATACGGGACCTATACTTGCACAGGGACCAAGTCAGTCAAGACCAGACTCCAGATCATCCCGTCGACAAAGAGTTCATCTAGTTCTGAAAAGGCTAGGTGCTTGGGACCGGGTCAGTTGCTAGCTACAACAGTATTCGGCGCAAGCCCGGTCATGTGTGCACTACTGCACTCACTTATAGGTTGGTCCTATACCAACTGACCATCTGGGATTCTGTTGTGAAACGTGCGAAGAGGCTTATCGGAGACTCAGATTTAGTAAAAGCGAAGGTGCGAAGCCTTGAATACCGCCGTAGAGTTGCCCGCTCATCTGTATTGTACATGATTTTTTTCATTCACGTTACTAACGTTAAGTTTATTTAACGCTAAACGGAATCTGTACCTGATTTCTACTTTATGTATTCATACCGATTACTGACTTACTTGAGCTTAGTGTGAACATTTTATAGTTAAAACTAGAAACTAAAACATAGTTAAAGCTGTAGATAATATGCTCGGTATCCTTTCCAAGGTCAGGCGGCATTGGGATAGTTCTTTGCACTATGTCAAACGCAAGTTTATTATATTGTTAATGGATTTGTATAATACCACCTCACACCCTTGGACTCTCTGGTAAAGCTTGCCGAGAAGCTAATCAGCCCTGGTGGATGCGAAGCTGTAGAATCTTGGAAATGCAAGGTTTCCCGTTTGTCTCTATTTTATCGGCTATTCGGCTATAGAGTGGATTTCCCTGCCTGCAGATTTTGTCTCTGAACGTTATAACTTGGGACTTTTCACGGCGAGAATGAATAGGCAATATTTAGATATCCATGCTCCATTGTCGACCTCAACCTTCCATCAGGTGACATGGAGGTTTTATTATTATATATTAGTTAATAAAAAAAAAGATATTTCGATAAGTGTGCGTGGAATGGCATGATAATGAATATTCTTAAACTGACTAACAGAGATACTAACAATTTCAAGCAAACATTTAATAAATAATTGAACATTGAAAGTGATGACACTCACATATATTTTATCACACGAACAAACAATTTAATAAATTTGCAAAAACTGGATAATAACAATGACGTAAGTAGTGATAAAGCTGAAGAGTGCGACGATGAGGTTGATATCCTCAGGTATTATTCGCCACGCTTTGCTGTACAGCGGTTTCTGTTCCATGAAGCGGAGAAGGCTTGACAGTTCAAGGTGTTTCTCTACATCTGTAAAATAATGTCAGGCAGTTTTACGAGCAACGTTTTCTGCGTCTGCGTAGTTCAATAAGAAATGTTACAAATCGTCCCAAAACTACTGCTTCGCAGACTTCGTAGGCAATGGTCACAGGTCAATGGTCAAGATATCATCAAACACACTAATTCAACTATTAAAAGTTGTCATTCCCTAGCATCGAAGCATCATAAGCGTAAGGACATTGAAATTTAAGTCGATAATATCTCCTAACAATTATATCGTAAGATACACGATGAAAACTCCGATATAGTAAACAAGACCAGTATTGTGACCTGAAAGTAGTAAATCTCTGCATCTAGCTACATCTCTAATTTTATTAACATTTTAGTAGCAGTAGCAGAGCTTTAAATCGCAAAGATCTGAGACATAAGTTGATAAGTATCACGAGCCTGCACCAGCACCCTTACCCTCCAAAACCGTAACACAGTAATGCTGACATTACTGCTTGGCGGCAGAAATAGGTAAGGTGGCAGTACTTTCCTGGGCGAACTCTTTCACAAGGAGCTCTAGTGCTGCTACTGCTTTGTGAATAGGCCTAGTACGTGAAATTCTGTTGGAAGTCAGTTCATAAAAGTATCGCGGACCGTATCTATTAAAGAAAGTTAGAGAGATGATCGCCTACCTTTTTCTTCCATCAAACGCATGTGCAACTTAAACCTGAGGTTTTCCATCTGTTTATTGACGGCTTCCACGACGACGGCAGGAGCGCACATTTGGAATGTGACGAAAGTAGAATAAGACAATTGAACCGCGTAATACTTCGCTTCGTCCTAAAAAACGAATTGTTTCAAATTGTACAAAGAATGAATATGTTTTGTTTTGAAGTAGGGTAGATCGGAGGCAAAAGTAACAGGGGGCAATTGAACCATTGTCTATATTTCGAAAACGGTCAGTCGTTTTTACGCGTGTGTTCTTGTGCTTACTCCTCATCCACGTTCTGTCTTGTATTTAGTCGAGCGCCGTTAGCGCGTGACGCGATCGACTTTTATAGGTCATTTTGTAAAGATAACACACCTTTTAATTACAGCATATTATTTAAAAAAAATGCTAATTAACTTGGACATTGTGAAAATGCTCAAGTATCATTAATACGAATAGATTAACCTACCTTTCATTAACAACTTCATTTGCACCGCAGGCAGAGGAGAAGTGCTAAGAATAAAGAGCACAGGTTTACGGACAAGTCATTCCTTAGAACATAGTCTGCAAACATTATTATATTGTAATCTTTGATATAGTAATAGATACCATGCAGATATTATGCTCTGGGTGTAATAGTAGCAGAGGGGGCAGTTGTCATAAACAACATCTCATTTAAAGTAAAAACTCATTTTAGAGTACAAAATTTTGCATTTAGGTTAATCGTGTTTAGATTAGGTATATTAATATAAGTTTTTCAAGTTCAAATTGCTGGCCATAAAAAGCATTGCATTTAAAATTAAGACTTCTATTTTTGTTTGTTTTTACATGTTTTGAATTGTAAGGGTCGTATTCTAAAACTCTGCTCAATGCTCAAGTCAGGATTGCACTGGAAACACAAGCATTGGAAATACGACCTTAATGGCAGGGACTTGAGTATGATTTCGAGTGCTTTAAACCATACTCAAATCATGACTTGAGCGTTGAGTAGAGTTCTAGAATACGATTCTTAGTATTATTAGTAGTGTTATATCTCATTAAAACAAGACTGAAATGAGGTTCATTTTAATAATAAAAACATTCGTACTTTTCTATATTTTCGCTGCGTTTTATTGTTTTCAAATGGTGTTACTTTTGTACCGGGGTAGAGGGGCATTAGTAACAAATCCCCAGTCTCACAAAACCTTCAAAATCTACATTTTCAAAGCATAATATCGAATAATCACTAACAAATGTTTGTAGTCAAATATATTTACCTTATCTTACACGGGAAATGTTTTAAGGATACGTTAAGGCAGTTTTATTATCGAAGCGTGCGTAAAAAGTATTACTTTTGCCTCCGGTCTACCCTAAGTAAATGAATGACTACTGGTGGTGATGACTACTTCCTGACATGTTTCTTTCTTTTCTCCATTATTCGCACCATTGGATAAGGCCACATATGCAAAATGACAACTTTGCAAAAGAGTGATTGAAGGCGAGACACCGGAGAAGAAGCGGGAAAAACTGTTTTGCTGGATCAAATGGTTTAGGCATTCGCTTTTAAATACCGATCTTAGAAAAAAATATACGATACACCTAAGGATATTGTCTAAAGAATGTGCTAATTTTTTACACGATAGGATATTCTTTATCCGAAAATATAAAATCAGAGAACCTGCTAAGTACTGATTTTCAACTGCAGCCTTATTACTTATTAAATTCACATTTATCCCAAAACTTGGAAATTGCCCAGCGGCTTAACGACACATGGCACCGTGGGCACCCCCGTCACTCGCCATCGGGCGCTTGTCGACGTTGCATTTCTGTCAAAGTTTCACCGGCCGTTCTTATTTTATTTATATTAGTTTACAGCGCGCGGGTTGCACCTCAGTTCCTATAATCTAGGCTTGCGTTGCGAAATACCTCGCCTTAAATTTTCATTTGGTAATAGCACTTCTGACGTGATCATATGGTTTTATTATACCAATTGCATGAATATGTTCAGTCTCCAGCCTGCAGTTAATTGACGTAATATAGTACCTAATAGAAAAATGGAATCTAGGGACTTGATACAATATTTTTCTTCTTCTTATTCTCTTTCTGGTGAGATGGTCCCTAATTCAGGAAATAAATGATGCTACTTACATTTTCTTTCAAGTTGTAAAGGACATTGCCAATCAATGTTAGATACTTCGGCAAAAGGGTAAACAATTCCATAACAATCTGAAACAATACGTATAATTACACGAAATCCGCACTGGAGTACTGTGTTTGTGTCCTTAGGTTTAGCTGATTATTCTCTCGTATGAATGAGGATCTCGTCCCCACCTTGATATCATTTTACAGTGGGCGAACTATCTCCACCAGCTTTTGCCACTGCCACGATGGAGAATGACGATTTTATGTACAAATTTCTCATCATGATTAGTTTCTCCAGATTATTTTCACCATTCTCTTGAATTGGGCGACGGCACACGGCAGAGTTCGTGAAGGGAAGTAATGTGATATGTGTGAATAATAATGTGAGTATAACTACGTTTTGAAAGGTAAGGCTGCTAGTGACTTTTTTATAATATCAAGTGACGAGACGAACAAGTCGAGCGCCTGATGGTTAGCGACACGTCTGTCCATAACAGTTGCAATGCCACTTAAAATGGCACTGCGCCTGTCACCCTGAGACATAAGTTGACAAGTACCATGTGCCTGTAATTTCACCAGCACCCTTACCCTTCTTAACCGGAACGCAGTAATGCTAACATTACTGCTTGGCGGCAGAAATAGGTGCCAACTTCCCAGGACGAACTTTTTCACAAGGATCTCAACTGCTGTTAATTACAGGCACAGGGGCTTTTCAACTTATATGACCACTGCAGTGGCAGTGTCGTTCAGATATTCGATATTCGATTAAAGCTCTGTGCAGCACTGCAACAGTTATTAGCAAACTAAAATAAGAAAAAAAAGACAAACTCCTCCATAATTTGGAAGAGCAATCGAAGCTATCATTGATTGATAGAGCTGTTTGAATTTTATAGGTCGACTGTGGATAGCTTACAACCTGGATAAGCACAATAGAATCATTTGTATTCGCATGTAAAAGCTACTGTAACATATTTATATGCTTACCAAGTTTCCGTAACATTTGCCAAACTTTTCGCAACATTCAGAAATACGTTGAAATTGCTTCCTAATTAAGCTTACTTCTTCCTTATCTACCAATCCCGCTAAATATACAACAGCGTAATATGTATAGAAATTTACTACCAATTGTACCACGACAATCGCATCTAAACCAGATACACATATCATATATATGGCATTGACGTGTTTATTGTCAAGCATGCATAGAGAAATTGTATTTACACAAAGCACTACTACTAACAGCATTGCGAATAGATACAAATATCCCATAATGATACAAGCAATGAACCCAATTTTATGTTCTTTAGAGTGTCCAATACCATCATCAATGCTACGTAATTCTGTTATGAAATTATGCGCTTTGTATTTAGAGAAATATAAAAGAACAATATGACCAGAATACTGGATGAAAAACAAGGAACCCCAAAATGTTCTCATGTCCCATTCTGATTGGAATAACGGTGTGCACAAGAGTAATATTACACCGGTGCATAAACACACGAGTAAAGAAATAACTTTGCAGAAATGACGTATTTTTTCGTTCAGTACATCGATGAATCCAAAATCGTAGCCGTAAATGAACTGCATAATTAAAAAGAATGTTATTATTGAATTTGGAAATTGCTTTGTTGACTTTTTCTCCACAAAAAACGTGTTTCTTTTTATTTGTAAAGTTTGGCCTATCATTTTGTTGCGCTCTTCGTACTTTCACTGGTGATTGAACAAGAGTGTAACGAATATAGTTCATCATCATAATTTGCTTCACGAAAGCAATCAACTTGTCAAAATACTATTAACATATAGGAATAACAATATTGGAGTACACTCCTGTTCAAAGTAAATACATATAAATAAATAAATATTAGACAACATCATAGACGTTGCTATGACCCCAAAGTAAACAGTTAAAGCACTTGTGTTATGGAAATCAGAAAACAACGGCACCACAAACACCCAGACCCGACACAATATAGATAAGTAATTTTCTACACTGACCCGACCGGGGATCGAACCCGGAGCCTCAGACATGGCGACATCATGAAAACCGGTGTGCAAGCCACTCGACCACGGAGGTCGTCGATGTAATACATAAGATATAAATGCAAAACTATATTAATCGACTGTATTTTCTTTTTGTGTGTGTGTTACTTCGATTACTCCGAAATTTGTGGATCGATCTGGATGATACCTTTGATGGAAAGGTACTTCAGTAGTGATTCCATTTAAATTCAAATATTTCACCCCTAAGAGTGGTAAATTAGGGGATGAATCCGGTTGATTAGATTTCACTCACTTTACGTTAATCGATTTCAACAAAACATGTACTGTTATAATCTTAGGTGCACTGTCAAACCTGACAGCTACTTATAGAGACGTCGTTCCATCAACAGAAATCAATTACTTTGTCAAATTTTGACATAAATTTTCTGTTATCATTATTAAAGTAAATAATGCTGTGCTGCTCCTAACCAGTTTATATATATCAAATATATGAGTACTAGCTGGTGCCCGCGACATCGTCTGCGAAGAATAAGTACTTCGAGTAGCCTACTGTACTATACTAATTTTCATAGTTTTATTGGTTCTCAGTACAAACTTTCGTCCCTTATTTCACTCACTTTAAAATTATTTTTTGACTGTGAACTGGCAACCGGTACTATTTCAATTATGACAACTTTAGAGGATGAAGAAAAAATAATTTATATAGCGTCTGGTTTATAAAATAAAAATACGTAGCGTACATAGTAAGTAGTAAGTAAGGTGTTTGATATAAATAAAATAAAGTTACAATAAATTCTAAATGTATTATAAAATTTATTAGTTTATTTAAAAGAGCAAACCCTAGGGTTCCTTGCTCATTCTTCTCAGGGGACTCTGCCTTACGAATGAGCTGAGTAGAGTTTAATTAATATGATGTTTCAAGTGTAATTTGCTTACCTATTATAATAAGGAGCTTTGAGTTTTGAGGTAAAAAGAAAACAAATCCAGATTAATCTTACCGTTAGTATTGCATTTTGCAGCGATCGGCAGCGTTTGGTAATTACTAGGTTAAGGTAGTAAGTAAAGTAAAAAAAGCCGTTCGAGAATAAGCTACTTAAATTACACATTAATCATTTAATGAAAATTAAACATTGAAGGCAATTCAATAAATGTGCAGAAACTGAATAATGCCAATGACGTAAGTGGGGACAAAGCTGAAGAGAGCTACGACGAGGTTGATGTCGGTGGGGATCACTCGCCACGCTTTATCGTACAGCGGTTTCTGCTCCATGTAGTGGAGCAGACTTGACAGTTCTAGATGTTTCTCTATATCTGTGAAATAAAATGAAGTTGTTATTTAAGGATTGGCAGGATGAAATAATTACGATTTTGTACAAAACTCGGGTGTCATAAGATATCCTTACATCGTGAAACACATTAATAAAACCATAATGTTCTAAAAATGGTATTCCTACAGTCAACAAATTATATTCAAATACAATTATAGTTTTTTCTTCAAAATTACATCACAGCATACACGACTGGAACTTCGATGTAGTAAATATGACCACTGTAGAAACCATGACCAACTGCGGTGACTATACACTATGCTCTTCTTGTTCTATAGGGTAATTGAACATTTTATGTATATATATGTAAATTCACAAATTTTTGAGGTCGTTTTTTTATAATATTTGTTGCATTGAAACTAGTAAATAGTGTAATGCTCCATAAGAATTTGCGTCGCTTATAGATGTTTGCTGATGTTGTTAGATGATGAATATTAAAAAAAAATATTCAGAATATCGCAAATGTGTTGAACAAGAGCCAGATGGTGCCTACCCTGTGCGGCGCTGCGGATGACACCGCGCAGCACACCCTAGAGGTGTGTAGCCGGTGGGATGGGCAGCGCCGCACTCTGACGGGGACTGTAGGGCAGGACCTCTCGCTGCCGAGCGTGGTTGCCGTCATGCTCGATAGCGAGGAGTCCTGGGAGGCGGTGGCCTCCTTTTGCGCAGAGGTTATGTCGCAAAAGGAGGCCGCGGAGCGGGTGCGCGAGGACGCGGCAGACGCGCACCCGCTCCGGCGCAGACGTACGGGGAGAAGGCGAAGGCAGTTCGCTGCTCGCCTGATCCCCTAGTGAGACCAGCGGGCTCTGGACAGGGACTCCGGAGTCTGCATTGCACGGCCTCACTCGTCTGGGGGGTGGGTCGGAGGACAACCGACTCGCCCCTCCGTTGGCGCGGGAGCCCTGGCGTAAGCTGGGGCGGCCGGGCGGCGTCGTGGTGAATGTTCACTGATCCTACGGCGCCGACTCAACCGGCGAGAGGGAAACCCGGGGAGGTTTTAGTGGGGTAGTCCCTCCAGTCTGGAGGGAGAGTCCCCACATAACTCCTGAGTCTCCCTGGGCTCAGGGGTATCCATAAAGATTTCCCCCCCGTCAAACAAAAAAAAAAAAAAAAAAAA